TGTTTTTTTACATAAGATTTAAAAAAAGAACAGATCTGTGAATGCCATTTTGTGGCAACACATGGACAACGACATGCAAGTAGTTGTTTGGTGCATACTTTTTACCACCGAATCGTTCCTGATAATTACCACTAACATTATGGCAATTACTGTATTTGCAAAGAAGAAATTCCTCATCTCCAAATCGAGCTACTTAATCATCAATTTGACTATCGCCGATGTTCTTGTTGGTATTTCTGCCTTCGTTACAATGATGGAGATATGGCACGCAAAAGACAATCTGTTCACTAGTCACAAGGAAAACTTTTTGTCGGAAATCTCAGAAACCTCTTCGAATTTCACGCTTTTAGCTTCTTTGACTACCTTAGCGATGATGGCTTTTGAAAGGGTTCTTGCAATAGTTATCCCACTTCGATTCCGCCGTATATGCAGCAAGCATTATTTCTATGCAATATCATGTTCATGGTGTGTGTCTCTGTTGATTTTCCTGCGACATTTTTCTTCTTCCAGCCAAGTTATGCATGTCTACGTTGCATTTGTCGCGGTGATATCAATTTTGATAATCTTCACTTCATACACTGCGATAATGATCAAGATAATTGCTTTCCCAAAAATCAATGCCAGTATCGTGATGAAAAATAATTTGAAATTAACGAAGACGTTGATGATGACAACCTTGGTGGCACTGATAACCTGGGTACCATCTTCTATCATTTTATCCAGAACTGGGAAAGGTTATTTCTCGTATGACATAGGCCTGGCATTTGAAATGTTGATATACGGCAACTCCTTTGTTAATCTATTAGTCTACACAATTCGAATGCCACAGTTTCGTCGAGAATTATACATGATGATAAAGTGCAAGAAAATCAATAAAATAGACACTCGCGACAATGGATCGGCAAAGAACGATATAAAACCAACGTCACCCGACTGAAGACAATGCATAGCCGTCAGACGGTTTTCCCTAATAAACTTCACTGATTGGACTATAGAAAAAACGTTCAACAATTGATAGCCTCCAGGAATGAATTGTGATGGTTTTTTATTGCATTTTAATTTCAAATACTACATCATAAAATTGCTGAATTTTTTTAAATATTTCTCTAAAGTGTGATCAAAATCATGAAAGTCGTTTTTAAACAAAATTAATAAAAATTCTATTTAAATTGGAGTGTAAATAAACAAAACAGTTAAATGGATTTTGTTTTAGTGAACACTACTAAGAAAGTGTCATTGCAGCCTCAAATCATCACAATATCAAGTTGTAAATAGCCCTTTGAAATAATGCCGATTAAGATGGATTGTAAATAAACAGGACAATTAAGTATATTTTATATTGAAAACTGCTACGAAACTTACATAGTTATACTGGCATTAGTCAGTCGGAGCTTCAAAGCAGCACAAGTTGTTTTTTGTTTTCAAAGGCGGAAACTCATGTAAGTGTTTTTATATAAACATAAAAAAGCCAATGTGTTCCCAGCTTGACGGCCAACTTGTAAGTTTTCTCTTGACTTTGTCAACAGAAACTAATCGATATTTGATCAAATAAATGGTTGTAGGTTGGTCTATTCATTACGATGTAAGCGCTACTTCAACCTAAAAGTTATTATTTACGTCGAGCTTTCGGCTCATTGCTTTTATGTTGTTTTGTAAAATGTAACGTTTTTTATTCAGTCTTGATAATGGCTCGGTGAGCCGAAAGCTCGACGAAAATAATAACTTTTAGGTTGAAGTAGCGCTTACATCGTAATCGAAATTTGTTGTCTAATAATGTAAACCAGACAAATGTGAAGTTAATTTAGATTCTTGAGTGGAAATGAATAAACCCGAAGGCTCTGTATGTTTGTGTTGTATACTACCAGTAACATGTAAATTTTGTGTGGGATAATCGTAATTAAAAAATATTGTTGGGCTCATTATTAACCAGGCACGCCCCATTTCTATTGTTTTATGTAGGTTTTGAAAATTAGAGGAAGACCTGCATTCTAGAATGAATGAATTAGGTCAATTGAATTATGAGTTAATTATTATATACACTAATAGCCATTTGTATGATGGCGTAATTTTACTACAACTACCAGAATCTTGCGCATTTCCAGAAAACCTAGAAAACGAAGACCTAGAAAACGAAGACCGAAGACCCCGAAAAACGAAGACCCCCGTCAATTCTCGGCAAAAACGGTGTCAAACATCTTTATACTTCTTACAATCGTTTCTTCCTAATGTGTCAGATCTTTTTATGATATTTTATTGAGAAATCACAGGGGGTCTTCGCTTTMCAGATCTGGAAAACGAAGACTCCGGCCAAATTTCGTCTATATTAATATAATTCTCGGGAAAACAGTGTYAAACGTCTTTACATTTCTTACAATCGTTTCTTCCTGATGTGTCAGATCTTTTGATCTGATCTAAAAGTATACACGAGTGACCACGGGGACACACGAGTGACCACGAGGACACACGGATGACCACGCGGTCACACGAGTCTAAAAATAACAAAAAAGTCATTATTTTAATAATAAAAAAGTTTTGATATATTAGTTTTATTTTTGAATATCAAGAAGAAAAAACAACAACAACCAAAAAAAAAAAAGAAAAAAAAAAGAAAAACAAAATAAAAGACAGTGAAAAAAAAAATGAAAAATGAAATGAGTGAAATAACTATTCAACAAACAAATTTTTATCACAACACTTCTTTTAATCATGCATTTTATACTTATTGGGTATAATTGGGGAAGGAAGTTTATTTATTTATGACCGCACTTAAAATGCCGTGCAACATCTCTAGTAAAACATGAACACTGTTCATGTTCATAGCTTAAAAGAAACTAATTCTACGCAAATTTATAATACAAAAACAACTAGGACTCCTCATTGGGGAAAGGAAGTTCATTTAATCAACAGCTAGGAAACTACAAAACACTGCAGAAACCTAAAAATAGGCTGATGTAAATAACCCTCGGCCCACCAAGAAACCCCCCAATGAGAAGGAAAAGTTGTCT